CTCCGCTCCGCCTGTCCCGGCCCGTCCCTCCCATCGCTCGCCGTGCCCGCATCCCTCTCCCATCGCGTCCGTCTCCCCGCGTCTCAGGCCTGCGCTATCTGGCATCTCCGCGCCGCCTGGCTTTCTTCCTGCCTTCTCATGCCTTTCCCCCCATCTCTTGTGCAGGTGCACCGTCCTCACGCTTTCACCGTCCCAAGAAGCGCAACTCTGGGCACAGGCTACAAGCAGGTTGGGTAGGTCGCTGTTTTGGAGAGCAGAGAACAAGACAAGCTTCACTTACCTTCAGTGACTACAGTATAGTCTTCCTTTTGCTGTTTTTCATCAATCTCCCCTTCAGACATTCATTGCAATTTTCAGGATTAAGCTCTGGCCCAATTTCTATCCTGATACAACATCCATTTTCCAGTAGCAAAGAAACCAAGGCATTGTAAAGCACTTTACATTACATTCAGGGACCTCAAAGTATCCTCTACGCTAGAGAAAACACCCTGTTTTTGCTAGAAAATGTTTGGAAAATGGGGCATTCTTTACCTGTAATATTTTCCTTTAGTTACTTTGTCAGGGTGAATGAGAGGACATTTAAAATGGACCTGGGTTACAGGGGCTGGCTGGCCAACCTGCATATAGCAAGTTACAATCCAGCCCAAGTTAGTTCTGACCAGGAAACTGTCAGCACCTAATTGCTGCCTGGCTTTTTGTGTAAAATGCTGGTTTTGTGGCAGAACCCATTCAGCTCAGTAAGACAATTGCTAATTGAAAAAAAAAACCCAACCCTTAGTATAATTTGCATTATATATAGCAGTCTCGGAAAAGAAACCTGCGTTGAAAGGTACAAAGAATAAATTAGCGTAGGAGTAGTCCTCGTGACTGAGTAGAATCAGTGTATTTTTGATTCATAGAGAAATGCGCAGTTACATGCTTGTTTATGCTCTGTAAGTATAACATGCTTTTCAGAAAAGACATCTTTTTTCAAAAACTGATCACCATGAAATAGTTTATTTTGTTATTTTACTTTCAAAATATTTTCAGACTGAAAAGAACAGCTTCTTGGGGAGAGAAGCATAACTTTTTGAAATTATTTCAGTGTTCTGAAAGCTAACATCAGAAATCATACAGGGCAATTTTATAGAAGCAGTGGCTTCACATAAACCTTATTCAATGTGGTGTGTACTTTCTATGTTATTCTTGGCAAAATACTACTGGCTGATAGACTGCTTTGGGAGTGCCTTTTATTCCTTTAAGATGTAGGAGAAAATATTTATTTTTTCATTTTTTAAAAGAATTACGGCATTGTGATTACAGCTAACATTTTAAAACTTAGATGTCCTGGAGGCATACATTCAGGAGGTTCAACAGAATGATACACATCAAAGTATACTTGTTACGTGTATTTCTTGAACAGCAGTGTCTCACACTGTTGATATTGCAGGGGAAAGAACTGTTTGACCAGCAAGTAGCAAGAATTGAAGATGTCTTCGTAAGACCTATCAGTGGAACTGATGTTAAAGGAATGCTCTCAAAAGGAGTTATCCATGTCTGTTATGACATGACATTAAAACAAATAATTTGAAGTGCTTCTCTGGTTACGGAGTTTCTGGTTTTCATGCTACAATATTCTCCCTTCTCCCAAGCCTTCCTTTTCTCAGAAGAGACAGAAGTTCATCTCCAGCACTGTTCACCTCCATGCTCATTTTGGTTTTCCCCGGATATTTTCATGCTTAGTCAGCTAGTTGCCATGTCTGTTTATTGCCACTGTCTTGCTTTCTCATTTCCACTTCCCCAAATGCACGCAGCATTCATGGCCTGCATCTTTACAGAAACGTGCTCCAAAGACTTGCTTCCTTGCAGTGACTTGCCTCCTTACTACTGCTTCAGGACTAGGAGAGGTAAAGAGCCACAGATGGCAGGAATAGGGGGGGTCCTGAAAGGAAAGCAGCACCGAATAGTTTCTACAAGACCAACTCGCTGCTGGTAATGACTTGTCTGCTAAAATTCTACACTAACAAGGCCATGTGACTGTAAATACCTGTAAATTCACCAGAAATATAAATGTTTACTACTTGCATTATTTGTCTAAATGTTAGCAGTTAAATATTGTCTGGGTTTTCTGTTGTCCTTCCTAATTTCATTTTTATGACCTGCCAGATATACTCAGTTCTTTATTGGTAACGGTGATTATGCTGAATTGTCATTGTTTAAGGAAAATATTTTGGTTCTTTACCTTTAGGACATTTACTGGATTTTGATTTACACTGGCTTCACATGATTTCTGTGAACTTTCACTGGAAACTTTTGCTATTCTCTTCATTTTATTCTGTCCATAACCTTCATGCCCCATCCCTGGAAGTGTTCAAGGACGGGTTGGATGGGGCTTTGAGCGACCTGATCTAGTGAAAGATGTCCGTGCCTATGGCAGGAGGGTTGGACTAGATGATTTTTAAAGGTCCCTTCCAACCCAAACCATTCTATGAGTCTGTGATTCATTAGTTTCCTTTTGCTGTCAGATTTTCTCACATCATTTTGATGTTTTCCCTGATATTGCTGTGGTATCACAAGTTTTTCAATAAGAACATTTCAAAGTATGCCCTATCAAACTTATTGACATTCTAGTGGTGTTGTCATTTACTCATTTTGATTTATTCATTTTGTTGTAATTCATTTTGTTGTTGTGGCAATCACCATTACAGAAAAACAGGTTTTTTTATGGTATTTCCCCAGCTAATTTTCATTTATAAGCCATTAAAATTCAAACTGACATTTTCAATTCAGATCTAAAAATGACTTTTTTTTTATATTCAGTAAGCTTTTACTGAATATAAAAATTTCACAAAGCAAACTATGAGTAGATTTGTACTTCAGAATAGACCTATTTTGACCCAAAGAGTAAAACATTGGAGGGTTTGATCGACCCTATTGCATTTTTTAAAATTCAACCGGAACTTGCAAATACAGTATTGGAGAGCTCAAATTATTTTTGTATCTATTTCCTTGCTCTGTTCAAAAACTGTGGATGAGTAAAAGCTGCACTTAACACAACTTCTCAGCTGTCTTGCTTCGCAGCACAATTCCTGTATAAAATGTCAACAGGAATAGTAATATTATTGTACTGAGAACTCTCATTGTAATGCTGTAGATTTGCATTTAATTTTTTAAGTAGTTCCTGAGCATTTGTTTGACCATTCAAACATTCAACTGTATACTTTTAAGCAGTAAAAATTTTTGATAGACCCTTCAAAATATTTCTAATCTTGTTGGTTTAAATAAAAAGAAAAAATGCTGTATGAGAAACAAGACAAGTACATAGCCTCCTCAAACACTACAAATATCAAAATCACAAAGCTTTTCTATGACTGCCTTTTCTTAAAATATTGAAGCGTGGCCTGAAGGACGACAAAATCTAAGTTCCATTTCTCAGACTAAAGTCTTCCATTTGTGTGTCAAGAGTGCTCTGTATAAACAGTGCCATAAAGTTAGTGACTTTAATGTTTAAATCTGGAAAAGGACAGATTGATTGCACTAGAAAACCTGAATTAGTGTCTTAGTCCACACAGACCTTTCTTATAGTGACCACAACATTGTTCTGCACAGACTCTTAGAGAACAGAGCTTAGAAGTTAAGAAGAATGTTTTATTTTTTCACAGTTAATTAATGCCTGACAATTTTGTATTACCATTGTTTAGGATATGATACAACTAAAAATGTGATCCACTTTTTATAAACAAAGAGGAAGAGAGACTATCTGCTTCAAAGAGCTTATGAGCTCGTGGTCAAAAAAAAAAAAAGCAGCTTGCATAAGGAGAGGCTTAGAGGCTTTTGCTTCTATGACAGAAATAACATTTTTGTTAAAAAAAAATTAGACCTCTGTAACTGCAGTTTGCAATTCGTACACTACAAAAAAACCCCACGTTTTCAGCACATAGTGTAAAGGATAAAAAGAGAGTAGTGTCATGCAAATAACAGCACATTCTTCATATGTTACAGTTCTTGGAGATATGTACTTCTGTGGTTGCATCCCTATTCTGTAAATATTTAGACCCCTGGTTAGCATGCTAATTTCACTTCAATTAGGATGCCAGCAGACATTAAATATGCACTTCTCAGAGATCATAATTTTGAAGTACCAGCTAAGTCATGAAAGCACTTAACACTAGGGATGTGGTCTGATCGTAGATGTTCACATCTGAACCACGTGATTAGGCTTCTGTAGTCAGGTAAGAGTCATAGATATCTGTGGGGACAGTTCAATTCATCTTCTGAAGCTCTTCAGAGACACTTAATGTCTTCTTATTAAAGATATAAAGGACTTCTCTGATCTGAAGCACTGATTAAGAGCCATGATTTTTTGGCAGTGCAATGTCTAAGATCGATGCCTGAAGTAAGCAGTCTGAATAGAGTCCTAAATCCTTAAAATGCAGTATCAATGTGCTCTACTACAATGATTAAAAACATTATAGGAATCATAGTTTTGGAAACTGCACTGTAAACATAACTTTCTTTTCCCCTAAGCAAGGGCATGCCACAATATAATTAATCTCTGTGGTCTGTTATCAGGTGTTTTGTTAGCTTAAGCTAAACCAGCAGATTAAAAAAAAAAAGCTATCAAAATTGGTGGCTTACTAAATACAAGGGTGTCTTGAAACAAATGTAAATGCAAAAGGGATCTGCAAACAGCAAGTTATGCAGCAACGAAAGTAAGCGATAGAGTTATAAAAGGAGATGAGGGAAAGGAAGCTAATCACAGTGGACATTACCTTATTTCTTGCTCTCAGGTGCTAAAGTTGCCACAGGGATAATATTGATACGGGATGTGAAATGGGCTCTGAGACACTTTTGTCTTTATAAATCGTCCAAAGGGGGAAAATAGATGGATATTGAGTTATATTCACAAAAGTGATAGCTGCTCCTGGGACAGAAGTCATATATATTTTATTTATTGTCCTTTGTCTGTTTATACTTTGGCTAACGCTCACTGAACTGCAGAACATAATACGCTTGTAGCTGAGAAAATAAGCAGGAGCATGAGAAGTGAGAGAAAAAGAGCAGAAGAGAGATGCTTTCTGGTTTTACGCTCTACAGAGAATGCCATTGATTGCTGGACAACATCCTCAAAAACTTTCTCAAATATTTTGTCCTGTGGCTTTCAATGAATTCATCACCTTGGGGTGTCAAAGGGCACATGCTATGCATCCCTCAAGGCCTAGCTAGGTAAACCTAAACCCTAGGTTTACCCAAACCCACCATCTTCCTCAAAGTGGCTTTGTTGCTATATTGCCTAGCCTCAGGACAAAGAAATAACGGTTGCTCTACATAAAAGATGGTATTCAATTATCTGTATATATGG